GGCTTATGACAGGGCATCAATCAGTCTTCGCTGCTGTGTGAACTGCTCATTTGAAACGGGATCCCTGCCATGAAGCTTGCCGCGACTGAGCATGTGCTTGAAAGATTCCCAAGCTGAATCAGTCCCTCCTAAAAAAAAAACCTATGTGTTTGCAGAATTTCCTGGGAAGTTACTGTAGATATAATTAAAATAGGTACACACAACACCTTTCACTCTTTACAGTGGTGTTTGGGGGAAATGTTAAAAAGTGCATCTAGTCCGAATTACGGTGGAATTCTAAGTAGGCAAAAGTCTGGTATTTGCACATTAGGGTTGTGGCTCTTGCAAAAATAGATCCTATTACAGCTTGGCACACTGTATAGCAAATTCATCAGTGGAGAAACCAAAATAGCTGATGGGCCAGTGCAGTAGATAGAGAACTCAGGTTGGAAATGAAAAAAATAAATCCAGGTCCCTGATGCAGACTGGCTTTCTAGTTCCCATCCTCATGTTTTCATTTTGCAGAAATAATTAACTCATATTCACAGTGTGTAGAGACTTCATCAACTCTACCTGAAAATAGGCCATTCACAACTAGTTACCCTTCAGTTTTCTGGCCCAAATAGTATATAACATCATTTATACAAAGTGGTATTTATGCAGAAAAAATCTTCAGAGAATATCAGCCCACATCAGCATGAATAAAGTCATTACTGAGTAGGGAAGTTGAGGGTCATATTGTCATATAGATTATGTGATTGAAGCTGAAATTCCCATATGTTGCTTGAAAGCCTAATTATCAACCTATTGGACTTCCTGGGATGCGGAAGATATTCTTGCTGCCCAATTTTTCAGAAAGATCACGATTTCATGACAGTGAAAACAACATTTAAAATCTCAGAAGTTTTCCTAGAACARGAAAAATATTTTTAGCCCAGATCTAACTGAGGCATTTTTTGTGTTGCCTGTCATAACTGTCAAAAGGACAGACTTCCAAGTTTACTCAGTCCTTCAAAACAGCAGCCAATGCTGATTGTTACAAGGATTTRTTTGTTTGGCATTGATGTGTGACTTCTTAGAGGAAGAAGTGGGCTTGTTATACACACAAATACAGCTCCAAAATTGCACTGACACTACATGCTGAAGAGGCGTGTTGTGCCATCAGCTCTGCAGCAAAACTTGAAAACGCTCTTCTCATCCTTAAGGGCCTCTCCATGCCTTGCTGCCAGTGCTTACTGGGTTTCCAAGGAAAGATAGAAATCAGAATGATGAATAGGTTTTGTTTGAGCTAAGGAAAATAACCTGTTGAGAATTTCAGGATATGGATCCATGTGAGAGGCTTGGCTGGGCAAAACTAGGCAAGGAAGTGGGAGCAAATGGTCAAGTATGGGGGAGGCCTGCGTTACCCACTGGGGCTGACTCATTTGCTGAACACAGTTCCTCAGAGCCATCTCTGTGAAATCAAGCCCTGTGCATTTATTCCTAACMATGTTGTTTTTACATGTATTCAGCAGCTTTTAAAAAACCTCACATTTCTTTTCCATCTCTTTTTTTKAAAAGACTGCAGTTCCCATTGAAATTTAGTATGCTTTCACAGAAATCTCTGGTCTGCATAAGGAGTTTCACCCTTCCTAAAGGCATTACTGGTGTGATCACTCAATACATTCAGATTAGTGCATTTAAAGGTATTTTTCATGACTATCGGAGAGAGCTAAATTTGGGATTTGAGGGCTGAGCGTACACAAAGTGATCTGAGCAAACAAACAGTCATGATCTAGAGCTAAGCCTGACTTTTGTTAACATCTCTTGTTGAACAAGGTATATTTCCACATGGCTATGGCTGTGACATTTGAGTTCTACCAACAAATCAGACCATGTTGGCTTCAAACAAAAGGCTTTACATTTCCAGAAAGAGTGCAGTAATGCTTGTGTGTGGATTAGAAAAGATGGTTATAATTGCCTTAAGGCTTGTCTTTGCTGAGCAAAGAATTTTCCCTGTTGTTGATTCTGAATCATGGACATGGGGCAAATAATATCAATTGTTCTTGTTCATTGGGTTGAGAACAAATCTTTTGAAATGTTTTGACTTTTTACCCATAAAATGTTAAAACAYCACTTCATGACCTGCTACGGCTGCATGGATTGATAGTATTGTCCTTAGTCACTCATATAGACCAGTTGATTATTAAAAAAAAAAAAAAAATTTTTGCCCTAGTTCACCTATACCTAAAAGGATACATCTTGAGAGGCTCAAGGTATTTTCTTCTCTTTTAAGTGAGAAGATAATTAATAATCTCATGGCAAGGACTTCAGTCAATATAAAAATATAGCAATTAATTTGTATGCSATTTGAAAGGAAATAAGCAGAAAGAACATGCTATTTTCAAGACATGAGGGAAACAATATTAAGAATATCTGAAAATTTTAAAAGCATGTTAAATTAAAGTTTGATTTTTAAAACTRCAATATTTGTATTCTGTAAATGTATATACATGTATGATCTGCATTATGGAAAYACAGAATGATTTTTGATCCTGGTATTAATTATTTTGAAAGGACTTTATTGTGTGCTAATTAATGGAAAATGAGAATCACTATTTCCAYGACCAGCTTGTGTGCCATGTCCAAATATGCCATCACTTGACCTCTGATCTTGAAGACTGAATATTTAAACGTTTTGCGGGYCTTGTCCTAACATACAACCAAAGTTTCAAAATTATGTGAGATGTTTGACTTTGTCAGTTTTAGTACCTTGAGATGTTGACTCATGCCCCACAAGATGATTATCTTTCTACTGCCCAGCTCAAAGCATGCTCAGTATTTTCTGGAAATTGGAAATTAGTTTTGTCTCTTCAGTGAGAATCCTTCTCCATTGTTGTTTCTGCTGTTTTTTCAACAGTGAATAATATAAGGAYGTTTGGAACACATTTTACAATGTGCTAGTAAATTTTAAAGACATGAAAATCAGAATAATATTTTATTTTCTACATATCGTGATAGTGCATTAATTCTGGAGAAGTGTMCCCTTTATAAAAAAACAGCTGAGAGAGACCAATCTGATTTTTATTTATGCCTCCACATGTGTTATGTGCTGGGAGCTCTGTCCCTGGGGAGGTTTTGCCTGGCAGCCAGTCATTCGATTAACAGCTTCCCCTGCTGCTCTGCAAGCGCCGTGCCTCCCTTGCTGGTGGGGCAGATGCCCGGGGCAGAAAAAATGCACGGGAAATCACTCTATGGGAGGGCGAGGCATATRAAAGCACTGAACTGCGATGCAGTCGGGGCTATTTTCCATTGGAGTTCTTGGAGGGAGCAGGGACCCGCCTGGAGGGTCACCTTGGCCTTCCCCCACACCTTGCTTTTCCTTTTCTCCCTGTGCTCCTGCCTTCCCTGTCYKCACCTGATACATRYGGTCTATATCAAAGTGACAAGGTGCTTATGAGGCCTATTAATTGAAAACTTTCTATAGCCTTTTTTTATACATTATCAATATAAGAATGTAATAACTTTTTACGTGTTATTAAAACACAATGTAATCACTTTCAATATATTATCAATGATAGGTTTTTTTATATATTGCTATAAGTTTTTTAATAGTGTATTAGCAACATATAGTATATCAGCTGCACATAATCTAAGCAGCTAGATTAGTACATAGATACGTGAAATCACCAAGAGGGATAAATCAGAAAAAGTTCTGAAGAAAGTACACAGGTAGATGCTATAACAAGGAACAGTAGAGAGCACTAATGAGAACTTGGCAGAAGCATGGGACAGTCACCAAAATAATTGAAAATTAGACTTGGAGGACTAGAAAAAATCCATGAACGTCACCACTGCGCATGCCCTGAAGACAAAGGTTAAAAGTCCACCATGATGAAGAGGATGGTATCTCATTAGAGGGAGACMCCCGCGACCATCRAACTGAGGATGACACATGCRCACTTGTAAAACTGTGATATCATGTATTTCTGTGCCCATGTATAGTRGTGGGTGTATGGTGGGCATATGGGGGGCAGTGACARTGTTCATGTTACACCATGCTTACTCTATAAATATGTGCTAATTTGAAGCRAAGGCAGGTGGGTTAGGAGGAGAAATCCCCCTCACCTCCAGCGTTGCAATAAACAAATATCTGCTCTATAGACACTGGTCTATGGAGTTTTATCTCTAGGCCTTTTTCGGGCATCACACCTATCCTGCCCGTGTGCTCTGTTTCGCCGCTTCCCGAGGCAGCTCGACACACACGACGACCTCATGTTTGCTGCCTCCCCGAAGGAGCCACCACCTGCA